AAATCCGGCATCACAAACTGAAATGTTATGAATATTGATGGAACTGGAAAGCTACAACGTGGTATCTATGTGGTATCTACCTCGGAACACGACGGTCACGGGTTGTCTATATATCTGCTAACAGACATTGGCAGATTTACTTTGCGCTCGACCGCGTCACTGCTCAATCTTGCTGAGAGATGCGGCCGTACATCCAATGTACTGTACTGTACATGCAATGTTGCTCAAATACCTTGATGTTCTAGCCTGCTCAAACGGTCCCTCTCGGCGACTAGAAGCAATGCGGTGGTACGCTTACGACGTGTAAATCTGTATTAGAAATTGTAAGCATCAAGGGCATCCGTCATTTTCTGAACGGGGTGGTTTAAAATTAAAATAAATCCTTATAAAATACATAGACTAAACCCGAAACACTGTGAGTTAAAACAGATCAAAGTAGAAAACGCATTAAATTGTATGCCTCAAATATACCGAAAGAAATGATGCAGTAACATATGCTCCACAGATTTGCAACCATTCTTTAAGTAATAACTTGATCCCGATCGTTAACGAATATGCGTGCTGCATTAAATTCACGACTCCAATCTAAGGTTTTGCTCCCAATTCCACAATGACTGCTCCGAGGTTGTTGTCAGGGCTATAAGGCACTCATTTAACCGCATCTTAATACCCCGAACGTGTTTGCGGCAAAAACAGCATTATTTCAATTACACAGCTGTTGTCATATTCAACTTTATTAGGATCTTGGAAAGGGGGCGTAAATTTTTGCATATTACATAAACCATGAACAGGTTCAGAAATCTGACATTGGATGAATTATGAATCATTTGACATACCCCGGCGCACGAACACATCTTGATGCGGTAGCACAGAACGAGTACGAATGTCATTCATACTATGCGAGAGGTCGGTTTAGCGAATAAAACGATGCGAGATGTATCTGACACCGTCAGTGGTCAAGTAAATATGGAGCCATGGCCTGCTTAACAGACCCTGGTAGACAACCAGGAACAAAAGGTGGTGCAATACGCCTTCTAATCTGCTCTTGGATCAGGTATGCAATATATGATCAGATTAGACGAAATCACGAAATGAAGATGAACGGAAGTAGTCGACACCATCATTTAAGCGTACACCTACTCGAAGCTACTTGAAACTTCGCTGACAA